CGTTATCACTAGCTACGCCGTTTTCCTCGAATCTCTAAGTCTGATTACGATTACATACAATAATAATTATATTAGTAGAAACTTAGTTTCTGTAACAAGATGTATTGTCTTAAATGATATGTCTGCTAATTTTGTTGCATCTCATCAACCCTCGCGCCGCACCCCGTGCCCGGGCCACATATAACAGTGTTCGTTCCTTAAATGAACTTATTTTTAAGACTCGACCGTCTAGGATCTTATTTTATAGTTAATATAGTTTTCTAGCGGTTACACGCTGTTGGGACCGCCGGTGGCCATCGCTCAATTGTTCACAAGACCGTTCTTCTATGGTCGTAAAGAAGTATTTTCATGGGCCGTAAATATCTAATTAATCCGAGAAAAACAACGAAACGACTAACATTCACCAAAAGCAAAGTGTGCTTCGAAGTTCATCGAAGAAATTTGTTTACGTTTCGAACGATGTTTCCAACCTAATTTTGTTTCCCTCGTGGTATATGCGAAACAAAATTGTCTTCTCCGTTTCTATGCGTCGCGTCGTAATTTTCGATAGATAGAACACCGCCCTAGATCATACGCCTCTGAATTGATCAGTGTTTCGCCGGCAAACGAATTGAAGAACGCGTCACATGCGTGGCCGGAAAAGTTCGTCACTTAAAATCGCATTTACATTCCTCGTGAAGACGAAGGTATAGAGGCGGGTTTTCGGGGAGGGGGAAAGTTATGAAACGTCGGAACACAAGACACACATAAGGACAGACGATTCTCGGAGAAAACATAAAAATTCGACAGATTGCCTCAAACAGCCGAAGGATAGTGTTCCTTTTTCCATCGTTCATCCATTTTCCGTTCTCTTTTTCCTTTCTCTCTCCATTCTTCGCATCACACATCGCTGTCTGTCGCGAACCTCAGATACTCGCACGCGAACGTAGTCTTTATCTCGCAGACTAAAACAAGTGGAAGATTTAAAGCCATCCTTACATGTTTTTTTCGTTTTAAACGTTTCTCTCTCGGTTTTTAAAACTTGGCAGATTTCGTTTAAAGCATCTTCAGTCGCTTGCGTTTTACACGTGAAAAGTTTAAAAAGTTAAAATGTATATTCGTGATTTATTCCACTTTTTTTCTTTTGTCCCTTTAATTAGGTAAAAGTTAATAAGAAGAAGAGTGTTAACAATAACAATAGTTTTAAGGTAGAGTCAGAGCAGCTACGATTGACGAGACGCTTGAACGACAATTTGGAACGACGAGCGGAAACGTATTTAGTTTGAATTCAAATATAAAGAAATTATAATTCGAAATCGTACAATTCGTTAATTTGCAATGTTTCCGATTAAATTAATGCCCTTACACACACGAAAAGTAAAACGATCATTTCTAGAATCTCTCGATCAATTAACTAATTGAAGTTAAATGTTTAAGTTTAATTAACAATTACAGTGTCATTTTCTTTTTATCAAATTCGAATGACTATAAAGAAAACGATGTTTACGTAGACGTAACAAAGAAATTAGCAATGTAACCGAACAAAATTCAAGGCACCTTGCACGCAGGAACGTCGCTGCCTCTTATCGGAATCTAATTAATCAAATTTTGTGGGCCTCGAGATCCGTCAATGTTCTTCCAAGAGTTTCGCCATAGTAGTAGTCCCTAGTAAGGTAGAAAATCAAGCCAAGTATATATATTTTATTTCTATATAGATCCCTCCTAAAACAACCTAAAACCTAGCCTACGTGTTTTTTGCGTTAAAATTCACTTTGAATTGTACATACAGACACTGATGTTAAATATGTACAGACATGTACACCCATTATGTACATATAGAGCCGTGTTTTCTAATGATTCGGTACGTCGAATAATAATTTCATCCTTTTTAATAAACGTCCCCTCCCCCCTCTCGCGCTCACTCTCTTTCTCTCTTTCTCTCCCCCTCTCGCTCTCTCGCTCACTCTTTCTCTTTCTCTCTCTCCG